CCTTCCACAACTTGGAGAAGCTAAAGTCATCGAAACCCACCCAGGTCCTCCCAACCAAGGAGTTCAATGAGAAGTCGTTGAATGAGTTCCGCAAGACTGCTGGGAAGATTGAGCAAAGCCCATTTGATTTGGTGGAAGGGTCCAATTACTTGAGAACCCTGTGTGATCGGTCAGAAAAAGGTGAGTATCTTCATCCTTTGCCTTTGCGGGTTTATGATCTTCGCCAAGACCCGTTTCAATGCCAACAAGAGCTGGTCCAAGAAGGGGTCTCAGATGGATTCAATGATTTTGCTCCAGGACCCCCCAAACGGATGGAAGTGAAAGCAGCGCGCCCGAATTTCCCAAAGGAAAATGCATTGGGTCCCAATGGTGTGCCGGAAGAACACCAACCCCCAGCTGACTCCATTGCAGCTGCAGCAGCAGCCGGAGCAGCAATTGCCCCAGCAATGGTGTTGCCAGCCAATGTGGAATCTGAACATGGGGAGGGTGTGGTGCAACCTGGCCCCAACCGATTGGGAGCCAAGCCCAAGGCCCTGGCGACCAGGAAGCCTGGCGATGGAAAGGATGATTTTTTCAGCGCACCCAAAGCGAAAGCCAAAGGGAGGCCACCTAAGGCCAAAGTGATCAAGACAGCTGTAAAATTAGCTCCAAAGAGACCAGTTTCCAAAGCCAAGGCCAAGGCTGCCAGCAAGATCCCGAAAGCCATGGTCACAGTGCCAGACAGTGATGCCATTGGTGGCGCTGGTCCAAAGACGGCCAAGCCTAATAAGGCCACCGCCAAGGCCAAAGCCATGGTGGCCAAGGCAAAAGCCACGTCCAAGCCCAAAGCCAAAGCAAGTCCAAAGGTTCGCAAGAATGCTCCTACACGGCCGGGTTACAAAGGGTGCAGTAAATGCCGCCAAGGAGGATGCGCCAAATGCCGGCTGCCCAGTTCAGATGTTTGATAGCGCGATCCCTTATGAGATGGAGCCCATTTTCTATGTAGCTTTTCCTGGAGCTTAACCCAGGTATGTTGGGGTATGGCTTGCAAAGCAAGCAACGTTCTGATTTGGAAATGGTGATCACACCATTGGCCTCAGAAAGGTGGTTGGTCCTGGAGCCAGGAGTTTCCCAAAGCTCACCGAGGGGAAGTTGGGCGATGGAACCTGGAAGCAGGAGTGAACCACCACCATCAGCAATGGATTGGCGTCCGAGTATTGGAAAAAGCTCATCAGTTTGCAGCTCCACCAAGCACTGTGAGAGTGCAGTTCCCAGCACTGTGAAAGTGTCCCACCAAACACTGTGAGAGTGTTCCACCACCACCTTGATGGTGCGAGTGAAAACTGGTATCCAGTGTGGTGCTGAGGTGTGGTCTTACCACTATTGGCCTGCCTGGCAAAATTAGATTTCCCAGCTGACACACAGATGTCATTCCATGTTCAATCCGGGTGGCCAGCTGCTTGGCAAAACCAGGCAATTTGGACTAGTGAAGGTTTCTTTATGTTTATAGTATTTGAATATGTTTGGCCAACTATCTTGGCATTCTTTAGTATTTGGCTCCAAGGCGCCCAGGGTTCCAAGACCAGATGGACCCAGCCAGCATTTTGCTACCACCGGCCGACAGTAGTGGCCCAGACTTGTCCTTGGGTTTGGAATGTTCCCAGGCCATGGTCAAGGTGAAAGTCCAGAAGCCGCATCTGGTGAAATCCAAACACCAACCACAGAATCGGAACCAAGATGCATTGCCTCCTCAGTTGCCTCCTGCAATTGGTTCAGAAGATGATTTTCTGACCTTGGCACTTCCTCAATGCCAACCACGAGATCGCAAAGGTCAAAAAGGTGGCAAGCCAGGCAAGCCAGCGCCAAAAAAGAAAGCCGGCACGGATCCATGTCACCCACCAGACATTCAAAGGTGCACCCCTTTCAGTGGATGTCTTTGCAAGAAGGTTCACCAATATGAAGGGGATGCAGTTGCTGAAGTGTTTTGTCCACCCAGACTGGCTGCAGAAGCACAAGCCCGTGGGCTCAAAGCCAGCATTTCTTTGGACAAAGATACTGGTTGGGATGCCAATGTGGCTTCAGAAAAGCAACGGGCACAGGCATTGTTGCGAACCCACAAGCCTTGGTTGCTTTTGGTGAGCCCAGAATGCCGGATGTACAGCATCATGCAAAGGAATTGCAACCAGAAAAAGATGGATCCAAAGGATTGGGACCGGCAGATGGAAGAAGCAGATGATCACCTGGACTTCAGCATGAACCTGATCATTGAGCAAGGGAAAGCCAAACGGAAGTTCATTTTTGAGCATCCATCAGGCGCGGCTTCATGGAAAAAGGACACCGTCCAGCGTGTCTTGGAGGAAGTCCCAGATGCCACGATCGTCAGCTTTGCCCAATGCCGCTTTGGGCTGAAGGCTCCAAATGATCAGCCATTGCAGAAACTGACCAAGTTTCTCACGAATTCACCAGCGGTGATTCAAATGTTCCAGGGTTGCCAATGTGTATGCTCCACACTGGGCTTGACCCATGCCAAAATTGAAGGATCAATGGATGGCCATTGTATGTCCCGGTGGGCCCAAAAATATCCAGCTTTGCTGGTTTCAGCTTTGATGGACTGCTGCCAGCGGGAAATGCCATAAAGAAAGTGTGGCATGCAACGGAAGATCATAGAGAGAAAGCATAGCACGCCAATTGGATAATGCCGTCGGTCCATTGGAGAAAAAAGAGTCTGGTATTTGTGGCCCAGGTCCACATGCTGCCATGCGTGTGTGCACTGTGAGAGTGCTCACGTTCGGCTTTTCATTTTTCCACGCATTTAGTTTCAACTTGCCAGGTGCTCTGGGCAGACTTCAAAAGTAAGTTTGGGCCTCAGTTATCTGCAAATGCACTGAGAGAGTGCTATGGGGCACTGTGAGAGTGCTATGGGGCACTGTGAGAGTGCCGAGGTTTCAGCGTGTCCAGTGCTTCTTCAGGCCGACTTGGAAAGCTTGGTCCCCCAGCTACATAGTGCCCAGAGAGACTGCTCCGGCCACTGTGGGGGTGGAGGCCACTGTGAGAGTGGGTGGCTGGTGCTCATGGAAAGAGAGTTCCCAGGTTGCCAACACCACTTAACCACTTTAGCCCAATCAGAGTTTATGTCTAAACATTTCATATTCAATGTTGTTGGCAATCAGGACTTTAACGCTTTGGGCTTGGACTTTTCCAGGTCTTCTCCCCTGGGTGGTGACTCCAATTGCAACCATGGTTTCCACCTTAAACTTATTACTCACTCCAACCATTGGCAGTCACGGTGTGGACATTCCACAGTGCCACGCTGGAAATCCAACAGTTTTTGGTTTTTCCGAGCTACTGAATGGATTTAGTTTTCCCCAGCCCCAACACCCAGTCGGAGCGCTCCAAATTCTGAAATATTTGGGTATCCACCAACCAAAAAATACCACATATTTTTGGTGGCTCAAAATCTGTCGGATTTTTGGCGGTCCAAAATCCGTCGGATTTTGGGATACCAAAAAACCGACGGATTTTGGGTGGTTACAAAAAATCCG